ATATTTTTGAACACCTTTAATTAGAGTTTATTTTGCTCAGGACTAATCCCTCCCTTAATTTTACCAGTCTCTCTCATACTTCCTTCCCATTCTCTCTTCTCCTTTCTGTACCCAACTGTGTATGTGTTTATATTTCCCTCTTTTGACCAGTTCAGATAAGATTGAAGTTCATGTGTCCAGACACCACTCCCTCTTCCAATTTGTATAGACTTCTACTTGAGCGCCCAAATTATCTGAGATAATTTTCCAAAATTTTCCTTTCATTTCCCCCACCATCTATGTATCTTGCCCCCTCTCTTTCCATTCTTTTAAGGTATAGACATAACAGAACCATTCACCAGCCTTCTGACTAATTAGACCCCTTCTCTGAACTCTGGGTTCAAAGGAGACACATGGATTAGCTTTCCATTTTAGAATGGAAACAGTTTATCATTATTTAGTCCCTTAAAATTTTTCATTTGTATTTACGTTTTTATGTTTCTCTTAATTCATGTGTTTGAACTTCCTACATAGATATTGTACTTTAATCAGGAATGCTTAGAAGTAAGTCTTCTATTTCATTCCATTTGACTGCTTATCTTCTTATCCTAAGCGCATTAATTTTGTTTGTGCAGAAGCTTTGTGGTTTCATGTAATCAAAATTATGTATTTTATTTTTTGTAATTGCCTCTATCCCTTTTTTATTAAGAATATGTCTCCTACCCATAGCTGTGAGAGGTATCTATGACTTGTTTCTCTTCTAATTTTTTAATACTGTGATCTTTATTATTAAGATCTCATCCTTTAGAATGTATTATGGAATATGGTGTGAAGTGTTAGTATAAATCTAATTTCTGCCAGATTGTTTTCCAGTTTTCAGCAGCTTTTAATCAAATAAGGAATTTTTTCCCAAGTAATTTGTTTTCTACTTTGTCATACACTGAGTAACTGAGTTTCATTGTTTCTGATTCTCCCTTTGACTCGTATGTTCCATGGATATAGCTTTGTTTTTTAAGCAGTACCAGATGATTTTGATGTATGCTGCTTTATAATATAGCTTGAAGTCTGGAAGTGCTGTGTTTATATATCTTTGATATTTATGCTATTTCTGAGAAATATGACTAGAACACTTTTTCCCATTCAGGTGCTTCCCTTCTTAACCTAGATAAAGATAAGAATCCTTAATTTTTATACAAAAACTTTTCAATTTGATGTAATCAAAATTACCTCCTCTATCTTTTGTAATTGTCTCTATCCCTTGTTTGGTTAAGATACATCTTGTACTCTTAGATTTGAAAAGTACATGAGCTGCTTTTCTTCTAATTTTTATGTGATATATTTAATATTCAGTTTATATACTCATTTTGAATTCATTGTGAAATATGGCATAAGATGTTGGTGTAAGCCTAATTTCTGCCACATTATTTGTATCAGTTCTTATCAAATATCTTATCAGTTTTTTCTGAGTAATTTATGTTTAATGAATACTGTTATTGAGTTCCATTATTTCTGAATGTTACTTGTCTAGTCTCTTCTAATGATCTCCCATTTTTTAACCAATACCATATAGTCTTTTTCTTTTTTTTTTTCTCTTTTGGCTAGGCAATGGGGTTAAGTGACTTGCCCAGGGTCACACAGCTAGTAAGTGTCATGTCAGAGGTCGGATTTGAACTCAGGTCCTCCTGACTAAAGGGCCAGTGCTTTATTCACTGCACCATCTAGGTGCCCCATCAATACCATATATAGTCTTGATAGCTATTGCTTTGTAATACAGTTTATGGTGTAGAAGTGCTATTCTTTTATTCCTCCTTTTTTCATTATTTCTCTTGATGTGCTAGATTTTCTATTTCTCCAAATTTTGTATTATTTTATCAAGTTTTGTAAAGTGTCTCTTTAATAGTTTGACTAGGATAATATTAAAACTATAAATTAACGTTTAGTGGTTTTGACAGTTTAAATATTCTTTGAGGTGTTTCTCTTAGGTGTCCTACTAGGACTTTTATACAGCTGTACTTAACACTCTTAGAAATATCTTCTGGGTTGTTAGACAAATTCTGTGCACTTCAGTAAAGGTTAAGCACCAACTATTTGGAAGGCATTGTTAGGTGCTTAGGATTCAAAAATGAAAAACAGACAAAAACAATTCCTGTCCTCAGGGAGTTTACATTCTTATGTATATAAAGTGTAAAGTACATATAAAGTAATAATAACAGTGACGATAGCTAACATTTATATTGTACTTAGTATGTCAGGCAGTGTGCTAAGTGCTTTACAATTAGTATGTTACTTGATCATCATGGAAACTCTGGGAGGTAGGTGCTATTATCTCCATTTTTACAGATGAGGAAACTGAGGCAAATGGCCTAAGTGATTTGCCCAGGATCACATACCAACTAAGTGTCTGAGGTTGAATTTGAACTCGAGTCTTCCTTCAGGCCCAGTGCTGTCCACTATGTTGATGATTGGGAGTAGCATTGAAGAAAACCCTCTAATACCTCTCCTTTAGATTACATGTAATCTGAAACGTTCATAGTAAATACTTTTTTATTATTGGTACTGGTCTGATAAGTGGTCTAATTGCTTAATTTTCTTTTATTTATTTTTATTTCTTTTACTTTTTTTTCTTTTCTACTCCCCAGAACTTTATAAAAGAGACACTCTCTACCCTCTTAGCTCATATTTATTTTGCTTTCCCAAACCATGTATTGTATTAAATCATGTTGAATGTGCTGTGAAATCCTTAATTCTTGTCATGAGACTTTACATGATGGATGTATTGAGTATTGTCGAGTATTGAAATCTGAGGTTTCCTTCTGACATCTGTGCTTTTTTTGTAAATTGTTTCTATATCTAGTGGGATAATTCCAGCCTTATGGTAAAGTTACTTTTCAAAAGATCAGTATGAATACTTCTTCCACTTATACATATCACTACTCTGCCACCCCTTAAAATGGCTTTCCTAAATTGCTTTTGCTAAGATAATAATGATAATAGCTAACATTTTTGTAGTGCTTGCTAAGAAAAATTTCAGCTGATGGCCACCATTGGTGATAAGCTACTTTGAAGTTCCTAGGCTGGTCCTTAGACAACTGAAGACTGGGCTCTCTGCCTGTAGTCTTTCCTTCATTGCTGCAAAAGTAATCTACCGCAAGTCTGACTTTTGTCACTTCCCTGCTCAAAAATCCACAGTGTCTCACTGTTCCCTATATAATAAAACCCAAACTCCTTTGTCTCTCATGTAAGACCTTCCACTATCTTTCTGCTTTTCTCGGTCTTATCGAATTATTCCCGGTGATAGTCAGTTTGGACTCTTGGTTATTCTCCTTTGTCTCTGTACATTTGTACTGGTCCTTGCCCTGTATCTGGAATACACTTTCCTCCTAACTCATTTCACTTTGTAAGAGGCCTTCTCTTCCCTGAAGTCTCAGATCATGTGTTATTTTCTCTATTCAGCATCTTTGCCTTATTTCCTATGAGCATACCCTCCTGAGACATTCCACAATCACTTTGTTTGCATTTCTTTTTATCCTCCCATTATACCTTGTGTCCTACTTATTTTTGTGCCTTTTTTATTACCTTTTTTCGGTTGTAAATTCCCAGGAAGTGATGACTATTATGTCTTTGTATTCAAATCTAATAAAGGTCTCTTTCCTGCCATATTAAAGGCACTCTGCCTTGCTTTCTAGGGGCTTAATCAATGGTTGTTGAATTGCATAGAATGTGTATTCCTTCTGTCACTCTGCTGTATGTACCCAGAGCTTTTTCACATTGATGGGACCACATCATTTCTCAAGTCCCACAGCCACATCCATGGAGAAAACAGGAAAATGTGAGTGAAGAATAGCAATGTCACATGGTATAATGAATGCCTCATCATAGGACACTTTGTAAGCAAAGTATTATCTGATTGTCAAGTATTGCCCTTGTACCAAGATGTGTGAAATATATGCAAACAGTTTCATTGTGAAGCTGCAATCAAAGAGGCAACAGTGTTGGGTGCTGGAGAGAGAACTGGCCTTGTAAGAAGGAAGTCTACTATTTAAGGCCTGTCTCTGTTGTACATTATGATGTGACATGCCCAGGTTAACTTAACCTTTTGGTACCTGAGCCACTCTCTCAGACAGTTAGATAAATTACTAACCAGTACAGGGGGAGTTTCTATACTGTGAATTTACTATACCAGCTGAATCACAGATCCAACTAGTCCAGATGCTGGAAATAGATGTTAATTTTTGGTCAAGCTAGTGACCATCTTGAAATAGTTGCCACATTAGATGTTCAGAGAAACTTTGGAGTAGGATAAGTGACACTCTTGTATCAGATAAATCATTTAATCAATTATTTAGTAGTTTGTGTTTATTGTGAATTGTACAACCAATGCCTTTTGGGAGTATTATTGGGGCTGCTGCTACTGATTACATGTATGAGTTGGAGCCAGGCCTGCCAGTTGTTCCACAGCAGTTCCGGACATTAAACAGTTGTGAGCAGCCAGCAGCAAACCAGCCACCAAGCATCAGGAATAAAAATCTAAAATAAGGCAAAAGGAACTAGATGGTTGCTATTATAGAGTGGTTTGTTTTGTTCTTCAAATGGAAATTTAGGGCTTATATCAGTAGGTTCCAAGAATATTTGATGCTGCAACTAGCTTTCCTAGATGTTGGAAAAGGTACTATGATTTCTACCCTGAATAAGTAGTTCTGATTTTTTGGTTATCTGGAAGGAGCCTAAATTGGTTTTTTTTGGGCATTTAGTACTGTGGACTGGTGTTGACATAAACTTAATTGTTTTGACGATAGAATCACTGTTCTATCAGGCTTTTGCTATATGCTTCTATTCTATTTCATTGCCTTATTTCAGTAGATATGATAGAATCATATTACAGGATTTTATTATGTTTTTGTTAAGATTAGGTTTTATCTCTTTAGTCTGGAAGTTAAAGATTTATCTGTACCTGCTTCTTTATCAAATTAATCACAATATTTAAAAGATTTTATTTAAACGTGAATTCTTTTCTTCCTCAGGAGCAGTCACCTTATCCTAGCTATGGATCCAGCTACTGGAATTCAGCTGCCCCAACCAGGGCTCCATACCCTAGCACATATCCTGGAAGACAGGATTTGCAAGGCCAGGTACAGTCAAAAATTGGTAGTGAATTCTGATGCAAGTTTGGAAATGGAGGCTTTTTGTTCTGTTTGACATATTAAAGGATTTTTTTGGTCTCCAGAATTCTGAATCGTCAAAGACTTTATGGAGCATATCTGAATATTTTCAGCTCAGAAAGAAATAACTGTCTACGAGGAAGGCATTGTGGTGCTGGACAAAATGTATTACATCTTGACATCTAGAAATAACAAATATAAAATAATATGTTTAGCATTTATATAGTGTTTTAAAATTGTGAAGTACCTTATACGTGATCTCATTTGTACTCAGTACGATATTCATATTCCTGTTCAAATTAATAGTCAGCATTTCAGTAACATTGAGACTGCTCAGAAGCAAATTTAGAATCACAGTGAGCTATATTTGTTAGTGATAAGTTTTGTTCTCATGCTGGTGTATTAAGGTGGTGGTTGAAACAACTTAAGTGTAGTTTGTGCATTGGGATGATTGAATTTCATTGAGTTTTTTTTGTTGTTGTTTTGTTTTGTCTTTCAACTAAAGACAAGGTTTATTGGAACATCAGTCATATTGTTGAGGTTTAAGGATGCTGGGACCCCAAAATCACAACACGTGGGTCCTGCCCGAAAGAATTTGACCCAACCCTTCTTTCAGCCAGAGACAAGGTTTATTAAAGATCCGCCATATTAGCCAGACTCTTAAGGAATCTGAGCACCTGT